AGTCAGAAAAGATCTGGCACATAGGAAATGAAGCAGGAATTGGGAAGGGTCACCACTCCAAGGGCACTACTCCTGGCCACTGAACTCCTGGAGTAGAGCAATGAACCTTTGAGTAAACAAAGGTTTCCCTGGGTGGGAGAATCAGAACATTGGCAAGTCTTGCAAGGTGGAGAGATAAAAGCATCATAATTCCTTGTCCTAAATACATTTTATAGTTCTTAACAGAAGAAATTAGGATTTGACATTTCTTGCTGTCTGAAGAGGCCGTTTGGGGGTAAGCCCAGGCTGCCCATCCAGCACCAAGCCCTTGAAGGCCTGTTCTACAGTGACTCAGCCTTGGCCTTCCTACACTCCTCAAAGCTTGCACTCAGACTAAATGAACTGACAGTGTCTTGTTCTCCATGAAAGTAGGCCCACAGCTTCCTCCAAAGTCCCAACAGGGCAGAGGCTGCTCATGTGACCTCTTGCTGAGACCACCACTCTCTTGGGTTCTACCACTTGGAAACCCCAAGGGCACTCAGCAGCACTGGCCTCAGTGCCCTGCACACTACCTGCTGGTTAACCTCAAGGAGATAATAAAAGCTAGCTGGAGCCTTGAAAGGTTAAAAGCAGAAGCCTGTGGAGGAACTACAGGCAAGAGTTAATACTCACCCACCATGCCATGGTCTCCACTGGCTGAGAGTCAGCTTCCAGTCCTGACACAGAGGACCACACCACATCACTCTTTTAGGATTTATGACAATCTGCTCAGCTGTGACCCATCAGAATAAGAGGCACCAAAAGCAAACAGCCTCCACTGAAATCGGTGGACACTCGTTCACAGCCTCTGTTGTGATGCACACAGATGTTTTTACTCAGGCTGGTGCCCAGTGTCTGTTTTTTCCTTTGCCCTCTCCAATGTGAGAATGTCCTCCCTCATGCCATGCTCCACACTGGCAGTTGGGGGCTCCCCAGCTTTACAAGAACTCCGAGTTCAGAGCGTTTCCTCCAGTGGAGCCTCACGAAATGGTGGTCTGAGAAATTCAAATTCTGGCTGTGTCCCACCTGCAAGGCCCATCCAGATTCTGCAGCACTGCTAGCATACCCCATGCACCTACAGTGGCTCAGGAGAAAACCGAAGCTATTGATTGGCCCCATAGCAAAGTATCTCCCAATGTATACCTAATGTAAGTTTGCTTCACTTAATTGGCAAATACCTACTAAGTGCCTACTTTATATCTGGATTGCTCTCAACACTGGGAATATGCACAAGTTCCTGCCCTGGTGGAGCTTCCATTTGGACAGGGCAGGCAGATGGTGCCCCCCCCCCAAAAAAAAAGGAAAGGAAAGGAAAGAAAAAAAAAGAAAAGAGAGCAACAACTCCCCCCAGAGTCCTACCGAGAGGCATGGCACAGCCAGGTAGAAGCACTCGCCTGGGAGTGAGCACTTTAACACACTACTGATAGGCAAACTGGGTCAGGAGAATGGAGAGAGAGGTCACAATGAAGGAAAGAGAAAAGCTGGGGTGGCTAGTGTGGGTGGTGGCAGGTACCTCAAGATGTAGAAAGGCTCAAAGATCAGACCCTAATGACTCTAAAGGACATGACAGGCAACACAAGACAAACCATGAGAACAGAAATCAGAAACACTGCAGAAAACGCGGCCTCAGGAGACCACTGCCCCATATGGCTTCTCTGAGTGACTCCCCCAAGGTCACTAAGTTAGTGCAACACAAGGCTATGGTTTGCAGCTCTACCAGATCCAAAGCCTGAGCTAGACAATTTGTGACGCATGAACTCCCTTTCTAGCCACTTAGACCTGCCTGGCTCAGCCCTCCTCACAGACAAGGGACCTAGAAAGCAAAGGAACTCAGATACATCATGGGACACATCAACCTATATACAACCTATATACTCAGATACATCAACTTATAGGGACACACCATAGGGACACATGTATACAGTCCGTATGCCTCTGGGATTCTATTCTCACAGCTGGTGGAATTCAAAGCCATACACATACCAGAAGGACACATGGGAGGGGCAGGCAGAAGACACATGCCTATCACCATTCATTAACTCTTAAGACACACATAGTGACTTCCTCAGCAGCACAACATCTCGGAAGTATATGTGCATGCCGGTGAATGGCCTGAACGTGCACCAAGTGAGGCAAGCATCCCTAAGGCCTGCTAGCTCCTCCCTGGACTGAAGGTTGTTTCTGCAGAAGCCACAGTTAGAGGCCTTGGCTAGAGGTGCCAGATCATTGAGTATGGAAGTAGTTAGGAACTCACTTGTTTTTTTAAGTGCTCTGTGAATTCAAAGCCGGGCAGGGGCCTTGGGAGACTCCTGACCAGCTGCTTTTGCCACAACTGGGACTTTAATCCCCTCTCGAGGTGCTTTCACTGACATGTCACTAAGCCAGAGCTGACAGCTCCTCATAGCCATGTCACACAGGACAGAGACACTGGCGAGCCCAAAGGAGCTGACCTCCAGTCCCTACAGCTCCGGTTAGGCACACGTTTTATTTGTTATCGCATAAGAACAAATGGTGACAAAACTAACACAGAGACAGAAAGAGAGAAAAGCAGAGAGCTGCCACAGGTCTGCGGAGGGACCACAGTCATGAACAGTAGGTTGGACTAGCTAGCCACATGTGACCTCTGGAGCAAGCAAAAGAAACACAAGGGCTGAGAAGAATCGAAGTCAGCACGCACACCTGGCCTGCCCTTGTGTTCCTCCAGGGATACTGCAGATGTGGTTTTTATGACACTGCTTCAAGGGGACAGTTAGTGCACAGAACATGGGGTTGCTTTCCCCAGCCAGGCCATTTTGCAGAGTTATAGCAGGGTAGGGGGTGGAGGTCAGGGAAGCTTCAAGGGACTGTGCAGAGAGATGAACTAGAACTCAGGTCTGGACACTAAAATAAAAGTGCAGAGGAGACCTGGCTCACCTAAGACCCTGCAGGGTTTCTTCCTTGTCAAGGGGGAGAGCAGCTGACTAGAAGTCTACACAGCTCCACAAACGGTCAGACACCCTGGGCTAGAAAGCAGCACAGAAACTACTCATGCCAGGCCACACTGGGGGCACTGGGGAGCGGACACACCTAGCTTTGCGAGATCACCTTTGGCTTGGTAATTCCGCCGTTGGGAAGACATCATGTGAAACAATCCTAAAGAAAGAAGATAATCTTTCTGCATGTGGACATCCACCATAGTGTAATTGACAATATTAAAAAGCCAACTGGATGCACTGAGGCAGCCCAGGACAGGACACTGAATGGTAAAGTGAGCCAAGCTTCATGTAGTTAACTGACACTCAGAAAACCTTCAAAGACTAATGACACACAGCCTGGGAAGGTGTGACATCAACGGCTTTGTTGATACCACCGCTTGCTTGTGTGCTCTGGGCTGAAATGAAATCAGTTTCATACTCTGACATACAAGAAGACTCAGAGAATCTGAATACACAGTGTACCTCCTACCTTGCCCAAATCTTTAAAGTGCATGTCATAGAAATAGTAGAAGATAGCAGTAATCAGCGATGCTGCTCTTAAGTGGTGTAAAAACACAACTTTTGGGCTGCAGAGATGACTCAGAGGTTAAGAGCACTGGCTGTTCTTCCAGAGGTCCTGAGTTCAATTCCCAGCAACCACATGGTGGGTGGCTCACAACCATCTATAATGAGATAGTAATAACATCTATAATAATCTTCTGGCCTGCAGGCATACATGCAGACAGAGTGCTGTATTCATAACAAATAAATCAATCTTTTTTAAAAAAACATAACTTTTCCTATTTTATTATTGTTCTTAAATATTTTATGAATCTTTTAAAATGAAAAAAAAAAAAAAGGGTGTGACTTGAGACAGAGCACTTGCCTAGCACACATGAGGACCTGGTTAGGTACCGAGGATAAGGGAAAACAAACATGTGTCTAAAGTTCTTTAGGTACATGGGGTGACCATATGCTACAAACATTAAGGAGGGCAGACAGTTCACAGAAACTTAACTAGCATCTTTGGAACTCTGGTCACCAAGTGACCATGTTCACAGGACTCTGGGAACACAAACTTAATCCTGCCTCCCAGGCCCCACCCACTTCACTCTCGATTTCCTGAAGGAGGGGGGGAAATGTCCAGAAACAAAATAACCAAAATAGCAAGAAAACAGCAGTTAAACATGAACAAAGCACAAAAGTAATGTCTTCAATGCACACATAAACACAAAGAACAGCAGTAAAGAACCAGCTCAGGACAGTATCTGGAATGTCTGAAATCATAGTGTCCCTTCAAAAACCACAGACATTCCAAACCACCTGATCAGCTGACCAGAAAGTAGCAATATAGCCACATTTCATGCAGCATCCAGACTTCCTAGTAGAATACAGCCCAGATACCACAGGAAGCATGGCACTGCTGGCTCTCCTTACGGCCACAGAGATTTAGTAACTCCTAGTGACTGTTTTCAGTAAGTAGATCTTGGGTATATGCGCAAATAAATCTCTGGAAGCACATTAACATTTGGCTAAAGAGCCTAAGAAAACACTGGGGATTTGGGTTAAAAGAGCTCCTTCCACTTCCTGTAGGTCCTGGACAGCCTATGTTACCTTAGTCAGAGCCATGTATACAGCTGGGGGCAGAGCAGGGGCCAGCATGTTACCTTGGATTCTAAGGGAACAGGAGCCACCTTAGTACTGGGCATTCCCAGAAAGCGTTCATCTGGGTCACCTGAAGGCACAGAAAGCTATCTAGAGAGGCAGGGTTCTAAACCAGATAGCCATGACTTCAAATTCTAGCTCTGCCACTTGAGTGACTATATAAGTCATAAGTAGAAGACAAAGTCTTAGTTTATGTGTCATTCACAGGACTAGGAGATCAAGCAAGGGGACAAAGCTGTACCTAGCTCTTTGGAGGCCCCTAGCCCCTGCCTCCCTCAGAAACAGGTGGTCAGCAATACTGTACCCAGAAGTGTATATAGAGCCTGACACCCCAGGGCCATTGCTCCTGGCCATCCAGGTTACCTTTGGGCATGATCTGGTGCATAGCAACTGAGAGGAAGAAGATGGAGTCGCTGTAGTAGGTCCCTGAGCCAGCACTGAAGTACTTCTGCATGGCCTCCACGACAGGGAAGAGCTTGTCTGTCAGCACAGCAACATCATGGAAGATGACCTGTAGTGGGAAGCAAGAAAACCCCAACAGTCAGCCAATCATCTCTCTCCGAGTTTCAGACACCTGACACACACTTGAGCCCAGAAGACAGAAACAGACAGGGTGGAGCTAAGAGAATGCTGGGAGTGACTGAGGGCAAAGGAAGTGAGGAAGGAGACTAAGGAGCAGACCCCAGGCAGCCAGGCTGGCAAGGACACTGTTAGGGACTGGGCGGTGGACATGTGGACATGTAGAAGGAGAAACAAGCAGTGGGCTCAGCTCTCGGGTTGCTTTTTAGTTTCAAATGTCACGACTTGAAGCCTGGCTCCCACGACAGCCAGAGGCAGGTCAGGTGTGGGCACCGCCCGAGACATTCTCAAGCAGGTGAGCTGCACTTCACTTACCTTCTCACCATCCATGACTCTGCACAGGTTTCCCATGTGACCACACTCCCTGGACTTCCGGAGCCTATGGCCACTATACCCAGCTCTACACCACTGGTTCTCCAGCCAACGGCTTCTGCTTTCCTGCTTTTGCTCTAGATTCCTAATATTTCTTACTTCTCTCCAAATTGTATTTCTTTTAGTTCATGATTATTTCTGTCCTCAGTCTCTTTCAATTTCTAAAACATTACTGAGCTTAGTTTGGCCAGGATTGGTAGCTCACTCCTGTGAGTTCTAACACTAAGGAGGCTAAGGCAGAAAGATAACTCAAAGTTCAAGTCCAACCTGAGCTACAAAGTGGGTTCTAGGCCAGGCCAGTTATGGAATAGAACCCTGTCTCAAAAATGCCTTTACCACTTCAGTTCTTTTGCCCCTAAAGCTGGCTTCCTGCAGCTTTAAAGCCAAGCTGCCAACAGAAGCTTCACTGCTTCTTGACCTTTTGCTCCCCCGGTGCTGCTTTCCTCCATCCCTTTCTGGCTACTCTTTTTCACACCAATCTCAAATTACCTCTCTCTCCCACACCTCACAGCCTCTGGCCCTGCCCTGTGGTTTCCCTCACGTAAACCTCATCCTCCTGAACATCCTCTGTTGGGCCTCACAGTCATTTCCCAAATACACACATTTATATTTGTCTTCTTAACTTCAAAACCTCCAAAGCTCACTGCCCTCAGGTCCAAACCTCCCAGCATGGCCTGCACTGTGGTTCCAAGTTCCCTCCCCACCTGCCTTCATGACAAGACAAGCTGAACCCTCACCCTCGTACTGGCCCATCAGCTGCCCTTATGGCCTGAATCCTTATAAGCATCCACTGGCTCTTCCCATGTGTGGAACTCCCTCTTCAGCCTTCCTTCCAGCTTTCACACCACCTCCCATGATCCTCCAGGCCCCTCCTATACTCCATCTCACATGGAGCTTCACTGGCTAGGACTGTCCCTGCCCTGTAACAGCTGGCTACATCCATGCCAGGCCACGGACACAAGTTTGTAACCTGAAGGAACAACATTCTGGACAAGAGCCTGAGTCCCTTCGTGGGTGACACAGGAATGGCAACACTCACCCTTGTGACACTGAGGTGACTAAGAACAGGACCCAGCTCAGGGGCCACTAAACTGCTCTCATTCCTTAGCCTCACATCCTGTCCCTGCCTGTGTCCTGGCCCCTCAGTCTCTCTCCTCACAGATCAGGCATGTGACAGCCTTCCCAGCACACCCCCATCACACCTCCAAACCATCACGAGGGGCTGGAATAGACAAGGCGATAAAAGCACGGGAGGGCTCTCAAGGGCCAGACATCTCCACATTCATTAAAGAGAGGGTGCGTGTGCGTGTGTGTGCCCGTGTACACGAGTGTGTGTGCATGAGTGTGTGGGTGCACGCTCCAGTGCATGTGTGTGTGTGTGTGTGTGAGGAGGTGGGATATACATGAAGGCAGGGCCTGCCTCAGCCACAGCCAAGCCCATAGAAGCAAAGTACTGTCAGCAGCCAGCTTACTCTGCCCCCAGCATCATATCACCCAAGCTTTCCCAGCAACAATTATCTCCAGTCAGCATTAATAGATTTATTGAGGACAAACAGATTGTCAGTACATTTGCTCCAAGAGCTGTACTGTTTAGCCAGCTCCAGTGAATATTCCAGGTAATGAATCTTTTTAAAGAAAAATGAATATATTCCAAGGCTATACTCATACAGCAGGATGTAAGCCACAGACACCAAGTGTGAATCAAAATGCCCAGTCTCCAGAGCCGGAAGCTGGTCTGAAGACTGTGATCCCCTCCAGCACCATCAAGCCTGGACCCCATGGCCCCCAGCCCAGCCCAGGCTCCAGCCTGGATGAGGGATACAGAGCTCCACCTCATGAGCTACAGGAAGAACTGCCACAAAACCTAGGAACACAGGGCTGTAAAGTAGCTGGTTACTGAAAGCAGTCAGCCAGTGAGCGGGCCAGAACAGTGACTCATGCCAACACAAAAGTGCGATTCACAGGGATGCAGACAACAAACATCAGGTCTCCACCTGTAGCACACCTTAAAACTTCCAAACCTACTACTTATAAGCATTACCCACACTCAACCTAAGATCTCCTTCCTCAAACCCTTCCCACTGACTGAACCACCAGTGTGAGCCATCTCCCCTATGCAGGACAGAGCCCATTCTGAGCTCATGAAGAAACTACTGGAAGTGTCCCGTCCCCAGTGACCTACCAAGCTTACAGCAAGACGGTTGGTTTTCTAATCAGCTTTTAATCAGCCATTTGTAAGCACTCATTAATTTCCTCTTATCAGTGATACTTAAAGGATTTTTATAACAGTATTTCATACCAATAATTACATGTCTATCAGAAATATTAACTAAATTTGTAAGTCTCTTTGCCTCCTTTTATTTTAAAAGTCTAAATTCGGTTAAAAGTCTAAATTCAATAAAGACAAAGTATTCATATTCTAAGTGTCCTCAAAAAGTTTGTTGTTCAAAATAAAGTATGTATGGAAGACACTCTGATCCTGTGCCTGGCAGGAGTAGACACTCTCCCTGGTACAGAGAGGCTAGAAGAGCCAGGCTACAGATCCTGGAAACATTCTCTGAGGAGCTAAGGCATGCACCACCACCACCCCGCCCCCAAGCCTTTACCTCAGAGTGAGGAAAACTCATTTGTCAAATGACAAGCCCACTGGGAACCATGCTCCTAGAGCCATGGAGCCAGGTAATGAGCTGGCTCTGGGCACAGGAAAACATGGTTTCGAGGAAACCCTGAGGCTGCCAGAAGACCAGCAGCTCCTGCAGCTGCAGGCTGCAGGGCCAGTCAGACAGGGGAAGGGTTGGGGGAGGTCATCCTCAACCACAGGAGAGAAGAACACTGCCAGTACAATCATCTCTGGTGCAGGGATAGCATCCATCTCCCGCAGGAAGGACAAATATGTCTCCACTGTCCACAGGGTTCATATCCAGCATGGAAGGATGCTGCAGCAACATCCAGACTCAGCCAACAAGCCCACCATCAACAGAACTGTCCACCAATGGGGACAAGCAAACATCCCTGCCCTAGTTTGCTTCTTGTTGCTGTGATGACACATGACCAAAAGCAATGTGAGGAGGAAAGTTATCTCGCAAGGAAAGTTATCTTCATCTGGAAAGTCACAGTTCATCACCAAGGGAAACCAAGACAGGAACTCAAGACAGGAGCCTCAGAAGCAGCCACAGAAGAATGTTCGCTTCTGGCTTGTTCACCATGGGCTGCTCTGCTGATCTCTAACATAGCCCTGGCCCACAGGCCCCTAGTCCTTCCCATAGGGCTAGGACCTCCTCTATCAACTACCAATCAAGAAAATGCTTCCACAGACATGCCCACCAGCCAACCGCACAGAGGCGATTCCTCAACTGAGAGTCATTCTCACCAGGTAGCTATAGGTTTGTGTTAAGTTGATTTAAAAAAAAAAAACCAACTAACCAATGCAATCCCAAATCATTACCACGTCATGGGCATAAGCTTGGGCTAGAATCCATCCAGTGATATGAGAGTAACACCCCCAGAGATTCAGGAGACACAGGGATCATTAGTGAATCACAGTCCTGCCTTCAATGGCATGGCGCTCTAGGCGCCAACTCCCTGAGGCAAGCTTCAGCCATCTCAGGTAAGGAACACAGTAGTGCCTGAGGAGGACAGACAATAGCATTGCCATTTTCAGTACAGCTAGAACGCTTTTCCATGCAGAATCTCCAGACGTGAGATAGATCTAGATATCAGAGCCGCCTGGCCCTTCAGTGTCCTGGCTGAACTGAAATTACAGATGCCATCCTGCATACTTAGCCACTTAACTGTGCCGGGCACAACCCAGAGCTGAGGACTTATCTGGAGGAGTCCTGGGGTTACTGACCACCAATCTAGTCAAATCAGTGAGTCTGGGTTCAGTGACAAACTTTTTCTAAAAACAAGGTGAAGTGACTGAGGAAAACACCTGACAGCAACCTTGGGTCTTCACACACATGCACACATACGTGCATATGTCCATGTCTGTCTGTCCTTCACACACACACACACACACAAAGCAAGAGAGACAGAGACAAAGATAGAGACAGAGAGAGAACCAACCTCTAAAGAAGTCTTAATGGATCAGGAAGAGTCACGAAAAGGGGCGTGTACCTCACACTGGGAAATGATCTTTCTCCAGCCCACTCACTGCTGACAGCCTCCCCATTAAGGCCATCTGGGAGGACATGAAATAGCAGGTAGGCCTTTCCTAGTAACAAACACTAGACACTTCCCAAAGAGGGGCTGCTTTCCCTCCCTCTGGGTGTTACCTTCTCCTATGGAGAAATAAGCACCTACTCACCTGAGATGGGCACCAACAACAGACCAAAGTAATGATCTGACCCAAGCCTAGCTTGCTGAACCAATGAATCATTGCGCTTACTGACAAGAGCATGGCGAAGAGCTACTTAAAGGAGCTGGGTGACCACAGAGCAGCCAGCCAGTATGAAGACTTCCTATAGCTGCATAAATGGAGTCATGTAAGCATGTTTGTGTACTGTAAACAGATTGTCCTTGTGTTATTCAAATGCTGGTTTCTCTGCCCTCACATCTTCT